ATTGGCCGTGTTTCCCGACAGTCGGCCGACGCGTTGACCGATGCATCGGTGAGATCAGATTCTCTACCTTTTCACTACACTGCAGTCTTCTCAGAAACACTTTGTAAGCCTTACCTAATCTGACCGTTGTCTTCTAAACAGCTATGAATTGTTTCTCCTAGTTTTGAACTGTTTTAACAAACTGACTTACAAAAATCATATTTACAGATAATACTTCTTGAGATTTATTTCTCGTACTAACACAATTAAGGTAGAATGCTAGGGAGCAGATTATTCATTTTTGTTTCCCTCACTTAAGTCATCTTCAATGTAACAATTTGATCCAGATATACATGAGATCAAATCCTAATTAACGCTGGGCTAATAATCAAGTTGTGAAAATTCTTTGTACTGATACAATCATACTTGTTATGACGACAAAAACTATTTTAATTATGAACTCTAACATTTAAAAATTTAGCGATAACTTACGTAGGGTAAGAAGGTAAGACAAGATCAAGGTTGCAATGATAACAACGATCACAGGCACCTCTTTGCAAGCTACAATCCGGTCGCATTCCTCACATACATGAATTTGAAACACTATAAGCAATATTTGCTTAATTGTGCCCTCTACTAGACGTAAATGTATTTATTGTCTAGGTTAATTAGGTAACTGTAACTATAAAATTCTACCTGTTCTATGTTCCTCTCTTGTAATACAAGAGAGATTGAAACCTATGGTGCTTACTATTTAGCCAAAATATCCGGAAATTCCGGTTGAAAGTCAAATGGAACAGTAATTTTCTGGAGAATCCGTCCCGACGTTGTAGACTTCCTCCAGAGGTAAGACTCTTTTTCCGTTCGGAAAGAAACGGTGGAGATTTCCTTTACATTTGCTAAATTTTCCAGTTCAGCGTAAAACAATTACGGCAAATCGAATTGTAAATGGTAAGTGGTAAGCGCCATCTCGTTTGGTTGGTTTGCTGATTTTGGAAAAACCCTCACTGTTATTCAACCCTCATCCCAACCGGTTTATCTGATAAATGGCAAGCACCCCTAGTCTATCTTACAGATAGAATACATTTTCTTTCAGCTTCTATTTTGCTAGAAATAGAAAACACATGCAATTGTTTCAGTGAAAGTTGAAGGCATGGGTGAATCCAAACCACAGGCAAGAACTGTTTTACACTCGACTGCTCTAAACCACAATCTTATGTTCGCTTCAAGTTGCTTTAAGACAAGCACTAGTTTTCTATTTCTTTTCTAAACTATACAAGAATGTAAGAAAGTATTGAGATGTTACAACTATGTTTACAAAACACCAATCCGGCATCAGTTCAGCTTGGGCGTTTACACGACTTACAATCATTGTTTATAATATAATCATTGGCCGTTTTCACACTAGAGACGGATAATCCGGAAATCCGGATTATCCGTCTATTTATATCCGTCCGATTATCCGTCTACATAGACGGATAATCGGACGGATAAAAATAGACGGATTATCCGTCTAAAATGAGCACCGTTCCGTTTTCACACCAAGACGAATTATCCGTAATGGACGGATAACCCGTCGTAGACGGATTATCCGTCTATAGTGTGAAAACGGCCATTTTGTTACCTATGCATCACTGTGTCGACGAGCTAGACATACAGTCATACACTAGAGGAAGTAACTTAAGAAAAAAAAGGAAATGGGCTGAATGAAATAGATATTGGTTATCATAACTAGAAGATAACAAGTCCTAAATAGATTTTATGTCTGATGAATCTCAAGTACTTTTGTGTTTTTCAAAGCTCAGTAAAACAACTTGAATTCTAAAGAATTTCACTTCTTAACTGAGACATAAATGATCACAGCCAATATTGCGGCAACAACAACTAACACTACTAGAATGCAGCACATCTTCTTCCTTGCTGCTTTCTGAAAAGGAGAAAAGAAACTTGCTCAGTTCATTCAAAATGTTCAGTATACTATTAGTCTTTTTTCTTAGCCTTTGACATGCACTGTGTCTACCATTCTGAGCTGTGCAATAGTTATATATTATATTCTGACAGTAGTAGGTTTTGAAACTTCTGATCTGGAAAACTCAGACTTCGGATCTTGGAAAACAGATCCACAGAGCATGCCATTTTTGCTAAATACTAATCTTATTACTTAACATTGTAGACCCACAATGCATGCTAAACGGCTACCTCTCCACCACCACATTGCTCGCCTATGTATAGAGACAGATAGAGTGCTTTCACATGATGTCATGGCGACCATATTGGTGTCCCAAAGCAATGACACTGCAGCCATGTTGGTTCCCAGACCAATCCTCTATTTTTGTAAACACATTATTTTGTTCAAATTATAAATTTGAATGGCTGCTGGCCACATGAGTGAAAACATACTAAAGATTTAACATAAACTAATATTTGTTTTAACAATTTACCTACAAGAACAACAAACTCATGATATAACTGCAGTACCTGGTAATGACTAGCTTTTTGCAACTGAACATTTGCATCCTCGACATGGACAGCAGTACTATCTACATTGGCTTCAATGCTATCTATATACAAAATAACATTACAATATGGATTAGAAACTTCTGTTTTCTACGCATACACGCACTCAAGATTGAGTTTAAACTGTACCTATCATGTCACCCTGCTCATAAACCATGGAGGCAAGATCTCTGAAAATCTCATTGACACCTACAATATCAGCCTAAAGATAAGGAGAGATAATATCATATTACTTAAAAATCAGGTCATGATATAATTATGTTCTTTCTGAAATTAACCACACCAATCCCATGGAAATTATAGATTCATGCTGTCTTTTAATTTAGCTTTTGAACCCCCTCCTGCAAGAATTTTCAAAAACTTTTCTTGGGGACAGGAGCATGGTGGTATATGCACATACATATGTGCATACCTCCAATATTATAAATGTTATAAATTATTATAAGTGTATTTATTAGTGAAAAGCATCTCTAGTAATTAAACCGCTAGTTTGAAAGTCTTTAGTGTCTCCTATTAAACCTACTAGCTTGACATGTAAACAACATATTTAAGTTATTAAAATACTCATGTTCAACAGTTTAAATTATGTTTTGATTTGTGAAACTTTTCCCTTAAAAAATTGGAGCTCTAAAGAGCTAAAGATACAATCATGTAAAACTTTCTTGGAGGTGCATACCACAAAACCACCCTTAGCTAGCAGCTCACATCTTTTGTATATGTATGTTTTCTATAACAACGGTTTGCCCCGTGTGACCAGCAATAAACTAAGGAAAAACAAAGGGAATATGCATGTTTTCTTTTTCATATACCTCAAGTTGCCTAATGGCTCTTTCCCTCTCCTCAATCAATTCCACTGAGATTTCTTCCTCTTCTTGTACCTGGATTCCAAACCCCCCAGCAGTTCTACAGAAAATGTTAAAGCTGTAATCAGAATCTTTGCAGTCATTGTTGATTAACTGAACCACAGAACAAACAAGATGAAAAAAAAAAAAAAATGATTTAACGAGTGAGATCTATTTAACACTGGAATTTTCACACGCATGATTATAATAACCATTGTCATAAATTATATTGAAATGGATCTCATCGCAGATGAAGGAAGTGCAGACAGACAAAGAAAGAAATAACTAAAGATGCATTGCAACAGAGAAATGAACAAGTAAATGAACAAACGGAGGAGTGAATGAACTTGCAAAGATGACCATCAAATGGATGAACTAAGAGTTAACCGGATAATCATGAAAGAGTCAACTGAAAGGTGGGGCAGTAAGGAAAGCAGGTGCTTCTAAATAATGATTGATTAACTGACTGACTGACTGACTGAGTCTGACTGACTGACTGATGGGGGAATGCACGCACATGAACAAATAAAGGAAGTAAACAAAAGGCGACCAGCTAGTGATAAAGCTTAGTTGTTTGTTAGCTGGCAGTTACAAAATTAAAAAGCACTGACCTTCGTACTTTGCTCAGTATAGTAACTGATCGAAAGCCAGTTGGTTTAGCACATTCCTATTTAGCCAGTAGCTTAAGCTAAGCTAAACTAAACAATGCTCTAACTAGACACTAATTTAAGCAGTCCAAGAAGTTACCTGTCATGTGCTGTCAAACCATGTTCATCATTATATCCACCCATTGGCTACAAAACATACATTGGCTTGATTATTTCATTATCATACAAAATAACATTTAAACCCACAAGCTAATCAGAAAAAACAAAACCATGTTAAAATATGTTTTTAAGAAGCCCGGAAGCTTGTATAAGGCAAGGTAAATGGGTTAGTACATTGGACTCTCAATCAAGTTATAAGACCTGGCCAGGGCCTCTGTTTTGTTCTTCAATCGTAAGAAACTCTACTCTTGCAGTGCCTATCTCTCCCCAAGAGTATATAGATCTATCGGTATCAGCAAATTATTAAACACTGAAACCAACTTAAATGCTAGGGGTACCCTGTGATGGCCTAACATTCCCTATCCAGAGGGAGTAGTTGTAATAATCTGATCTGAACCAAATTAAAATTAGTGAAATCAATAGACAGTACTAGCATCTGCAAGCCGTACCCTAAACTCAAAAAACAGACTCTCAGTTTTGCATAATATGCAGGGTTCTTGTTAAGTGCTGGCAGCTGGCTAAAACACCAGCTACTTTGATTTCCGAGCTTCCCACTTTCAATGAAATAAGATGTGTGTAAATGTTCTTGTATCAGGGCAGTTGAGGCTGTAGGTAGTGAGGGGGAATGGGGACCATCAGAGTGTGACCAGAGTCTACATTTTCAGTTACACTAGCGTTGTCGGATAAAAATTGAAAACAGTTCTTTGAAATCTACACTTACACTTGCAGAAGGCATCCCTGCAGATATTGATCTTGCTCTTGAGACAGATTCTTTCTCTTTCTCAGCTGCAATCTGTTCAAAGCAGATATCACTCTTAATGGAGCTCAGTCATGGTTTGCGCATATTGAAAAGTTTAGCCTCAATTTTTCAAATTTGTTGTTTGTAATTCGTGTTAATCTTCTCCATCCTTAGCCATCCTTGTTCCTTTATGGTTTATCATTATCTCTTTGGTGTTTTTNCTATCTTATTAAACTGTTATTTTCAGGTTTCCTACCATTTAAAGGTAATTTTGTATGTGGCCAAAATAACTCAAAATATCATGACTGAGCCCCTTTAAACTAGAAAACGCAATGTTCTACCAGATATCAGTGTCTCAGCCAGAAAATTTTACTTGAGGGCCAAAGTGGCCCCTGAAGATCTTTTTTAGGGGTTAATGTTTTAGGAAAGGGGCCAATAAATTGAAAGCTACAGAAGGAAAAACTGCATTAGGGTACCAAGGAAAATAGAGCAGTTTATTAGGATCTATGATAAAATTTAATGGTAAGGGCTTTTTGAAGTGTTTCTGCTCAAAAAAGTTTCTTTTGAATTGAATATTTATATGAAGGATCCGTGCCATTTGGAAGTTTTCCGATATGAGAGAATCAATACAGCAAAGCAAAAGGATGGATTGACTTTTTTTTCTTATGTTGAATGTTTTAGAAGCAAAGATCTTTCAATATGATATTCTAGAGGGACATAATGTGTGACAAAATAACCATTATTGATGGTCAACACAGAGAAATGTAGTCGCCATTATGCCGTATTATGGCGACTAAACCAGAATTTTTGGTCGCCAAGGATGAAATGTTAGTTGCCTTGGCGACCGTATCGATCCCAATTTTGAGCCCTGTGATGGCTTTTAAAATATTATGCCTGTGTTAAGCCTGCTCTCTTGTAATAGGAAAGGGCCAAATTGGCCCTTTTTTCGTTTTTCTGGGGGCCATCTCTGATTGCAAGGCGGGATTCCCGCAATGGTGTGCTCTGGCGGAAACACTGAGACATACAGATTACACAAACCATACAGCGTGTACATTTCAATCCACAGGAGATTGACTTTTACTCACTCGCTGAACTCTCTGGAAGCTGTTCAGTGCTGTAGAAAAGTTATCTGTTAGCTTGTCCACCTGTATTTTTCTTTGACGCTGTATAAATGAAGTTAATTAAGAATTGATCACAAAAGATGGCTAAAGGGTGTAGCTAAAATGTTTATCTAGTACAAGTATATGCCAACTAAAATAATGACAAGAGCCTTTTGCATGTTTCATAATATTAGTTCTTGAAAGACACTTTAATAATTGATCATGTAATTATTTCATTTACTTCGTACTACAGTCATGACATTTTTTTTTTTGCAGTTTTTCCATTCTCATGTGAACCCAATACAGTGTTAAACAAAATTTTATTTGTCAGCTCTCACTCTTGACATGGCAAACCAACTGTCAGCAACAGGCAATTTGGAAATGGTTCAGATAAGTGATTATAGCAATATTGTTGGAAAAGACACTGAGTGACTCAATATACCCACATGTATTTAACTCTCTTACCACAAAGTTATGAATTAAAATGCTGACTTGTAACCTGAATCAGATACCATATCCGACTACTACAATTAATTTATGTCTTCTTTAAAACACTAATAATTGATGTGTTAACTAAAGATATTTTACGTACTCTATCAGACGGTGAATCTCCAAAGAGGTGAGGCAGCTGCTTCAAGTATGAGTGAGTTTCCTTGGCAAGTTTTTGCGTAGCCTGTTCTGTCTGTTGCCTGAAAACAAAATTGGACCATTGCAAAAACTCTATTTCATAGGTCAATGATAAGGCAAAAGAAAGCTGACTTAGACTGCAAACAGTCTCCCTTTTGCTCTAAAATCTATGAGGAAGAATGCAAAGAAGAATCAGGGTCCGAAATTAACTTTTTTAGGCAGGCACCAACTGGCGACTGAAATTTTTTTTTCAGTTGCCATATGGAAAAATGTGGTCACCAAAAAGTGTCAATAAAATTTTTCCTTCGCAGCGAAACACAAACCAAAATTTTTGGTCACCAGATGGAAAATTCTGCTCGCCAATTTTTCTTTTAAGAATTGGAACGAAGAGATCGCATTTGGGGCCGATTATTTAAACACCTACCGCTGAAAACCCACGACGAACGAATCGAATGCCGGCCATATACGCAGTTTTGTGCGACTGCCAAATGTTTCAAGTCAATTTTATACCTTCTCTTGTCTCTACCTTTTGGAGAAGAAAATTATGTACCCGACTGAAAACTGCCGTTTGGTTCTTTGTTCTATGTGCAAAACGATCTTTCCTTTTGCATTCTGTCAAGACGATAGATGGATCGCCATGTTGAATATCAAAATCTTTCAGTAATTTCTTTGCGGATGTTCCGTCTCCACTTTTTAATAAATTACGGAATGAGTTCAGGACATCTTTGGACACCACATCATCTGAGTAAATGTTCATGGCGAAAGAACGGATGTGGCCTGTGCCTGCAATACGTATGTTATGGGAAACCGCTGGAAAAACATGGCGGCGAAGCTTTGCACTGATCGTAGCTTTGAAACGTTGTGGTAGATTTATAATAACACGAAAATCGGTTTTATACTTCAAAAGCAGCGGAAAGGTAAAAAGTAAG